GAAGCTATCATAGTGTTTTATCCTTTAACTAGCAGCTGTTTTCTGTTGTAGATCTGAGATGCAGTAGATGGTGCTGAAGCAACACTGAGGCTCCTGAAATATCCACAGTCCAGAGTGTATATAGAAAGTGCCTCCTGGCTCTGCCAAACGCTGATGGTCCTGTGACTTCAAGAGATACACTCTGGGACAAGAAAACACTGACTGTTAGTTTTAAAAATGTTAATAAATAATTCTTTGTGTTGCTTTTTTATTCTTTATTGCTTTTGAAGGTAGGCAGGTTAGGTAGTTCAAATACTGACCAAGTAGTGCTTCAGGTGGTTTCAGCTCTGTATGCAGATAGTGAGCAAATTTAATCTGTTGAATGTGAGCTCTTTGACAGCTGTTGCTCAGTGTTGCCAAAATCAAAGCTGAGAGACAGGTGGAAGTTTGGGAGCATAATGCTCTAGGAATATGTATAATAGCACACAGCCACAGTGCTTGTATTTCCTGTCTGTCCATGCACTCACTGGGAGAAGCATGCAGGCAGGAAATGTTTCACAGGATGACTAGGAAGTGGTATTAAGGTTTGTACTGTCAAAATACTGCCCTGTCAGCAAGCCTTACTAGCTGGGTAATATGAGCTACCATTGATTGTTCAGCTAAAGATAATCTCAAGAAGGCAGATGCCAGCTAATGACACAGTGGCATCATCTCGTAGTTCCTAGAAGTACCTGTTTCTTTGAATTGTGTAGATTTGACAAGTGGTAGATACTTTATATCCCATTAGTGTAAGTAAGTCTGTCTTCTGCCTTACATCTCCAATGCAGAAAAATTGGAGCCGTTAATTTAACATTATGACTTGTCTTTGGTAATTTGTGTGAGGGCAGGATCACTAGGACTTCATCACTGACACATACCCAGCAAAGAATGTTTTGCTGACTTAAAAGGTGAAATCATGAGCCAAAAAACCCCAAACCAATCTATGTGCTTTCCTCAGCACACAGTTTTGTGAATAACCAAGATTCCTGTCCACTGAAAGTTCTGTAGTAGCATGATGGAATTGGTGTGATATGGCAGTGTCACTTTCTGGGGTTGTGACTAGCAATAGCGAACCTGACTGGTGCTCAGAAGCAGTAGAAGTTATTTTTACTGTTTTTAAGTATTGAAAGGGTGGATGAATGGCTGAGTGTGCTTCTTGCATTTTCCTCCCCCTAATTGGAGGATCTTAAGCTTCAGAAGCGCTTTACTGTTTTGCAGTTCTTCTGCTTCTCTTCATTTAAGAGAGCCCTCCCACTGCCTATAAAAGCTGCCTATAAGTGGCTTTTTTCAGATCGTTTATGTATGTGTGAACATAAATAGACGCCCACACCTTTTACATGGGAAGTGAAAACTATAGGGGGAAAAAAATTACACGGTTATCTTGGGTGACTTTGTACACATCACTTCTGTATGCAAAGGATCTGAGGCTGAGAGCAATG